GTCGAACAGACGGAAGGTACCACACTAAAACGAGAGCAACTCAGTGAACAATGTGTGTATATTGTAATTTTCTGTTTTCAAGTTATTCTGTTCAGTCAATACAATTAGGCGAACCGCCGGTTACCGGTTTTCTGCACACAACATGACAATACAAAATTACTCATGCTCACAGTGGCTCTACTCACTCGCAATGCAGACACACACTGATTGCCCTCAGGAACATTCACAGTCTGATCCGAAACATTGATTCCGTAGGCAATTTTTCCATTCCTCACCGCTTACCTCATTTTTGAAAGAAACACAAATCGCCCCCTCGTCACACACCTTCAAGACTCCAACTACATTTTCCACTGCTCCTTTCTATCTAGAGCTAGTGTCTATGCCTTTATCCACCAAACGGTCAGCGCCTCCATAATAATAAATCTGGACTTTTCCAATCGTAAATGTCAGCGGAAGCTCCGATTTCCTTCTCCACCGTTACCATTTAGTTTTTGTTCTTTGGAGCTTACTTCACCAATTGCCCTTCATGGAACTTATACCCGCCCATCCAGTAAACACACACACATACACACACACACCATATGTCGCTTCTCTTCCAACAGCCAAGGTTTTCGTTACCCACTGTGTACCTCGATCGTAACATACAAATAAACACTCTTTCAACGCAGAATCAATAAGCTGGATCTTACGTGAATGTTTCTCTACTGTCGTTTTCATAGCATCCTTTTTGCTGAGTGGATTTCCCTTTTTACAGCAATTCACACCGACCAATGATTAAAACGGCGTGGAGGTGAGGGCAAGTTGGAGTAACATACTTCTCAATATGGTCAGGAGTGGTTGTCTCGGGCTGTGGCNTCATTCCCCCCCCCCCCGCTCTTTGTACGTCGCGAAATGCTCCCATATGACTAAGCGCCTCTAATAGTTTCCATGAGGAACCGCTACTCACTGCCTTACCAAAGAGAAACAAAAGCTAAAATCTGGGGCTATAACCGGGTTGGTGAACCACTAACAGCTCACCTAGGGGAGTTGGTTAAAAACCCTGATCTCACACCAACCAAGAGGCTTAGGAGCCACACGCTCCACACCTCGGTCGTGGCAGTGGTCACCGGCTCTGTTGGGCATCGGGGTATTGGTGTATTGGGCACCTTAGACGTCCGACACCGTCGAAGGGATGTATGATCAGGTGAACTGGGCATCGGCCTAAAATGGATTGCGGTTTTGACAGGCCGCCCCGCTGACTTGCGGGTCAGGCTTTGGGAAGTCAAAGCCTCGGTTGTGAATTCCCTTGGCCTGGACAACCTGGCAGTATTTAGCCAACATACATTGAACTCTTTCTTGTTATAAAAACTATTGTCCCATGGTTTGTTTGGCACAGTCTGGGCTCAGATTTGTGTGAACTACAGAAATACACAACACATTCATGAGGGCGTATTTACTGGAACTTGGTAGGTACAGAGATAGACTTACCTGCTTCTAATATTGGAGGTGACGATGTTGCTTGGTTCATGATTATTCAAATTGAAAACAACTTCCAATGTGAATGATACCAACCACTGTTGTTAAGAAGGCGCTGACTTATTACTGATTCAGAAAGCTTGTACGCGTTTAACGAAGTCGGAAATAGTGGGCTTCAAAGAGCATGATTTCTCCCGTAGTGAGACGGAAAAGATTACAATCAAAATGCATTCACAGAAGATAATGCAGAGCTTATTCATATATAAACTCACGTACCTAAAGAAAGGCCACCACAAAGGCCCATATAGACCATACGTTGCGCGCCAGAGAAGCGGGTGCATTGTTGTTTCGCTACATAGAAAATGTAGCCGGAAAGGGTCACAGGTAACGCGACCGCAACCCATTTGCAACTCACACACTGATCTCCCTTTGCATTGTCCGAGTTCTTTCGGGATCCTGATTCCTCTAATGAGGTAGCGTGGATAGACGATGACGTCGCGGTTGTCGATGCCGGTTCACCCATAACTTTTTCAGAGAAAAATAACAGAAAACAGATTAAACGAGTGCTTGCATTAAAACGCTGACAAAGACAGCGTTCAAGGGGAACAAAATTTGGGAACTCACAAGCAGTTTTGTTTACAATCCCAGCTCACAAACTTTGAATACTATGAATGTATGCGAACGAAAAAGCACCATCGGTCAAGCAGAAAGAGGCACACTTGTGAGCAGATGACCCGTAGCCGCGTCAACTCAAGTCACATAATCGAAGAATTGTGTACAGAGGGAATTTCAGGTGGTCCGTCACTACCGCGAATTTTGCTTCGTTCATGTCAACAAATATCCACATAACTCACTCCTAATACATTTATTTATGGAAACGTCAATTACTTCCCACCGACCTGGTCTTGTTGTGAATCGGGTCCAACAAGTGAAGTGTGACAGGCAAAGCACGAACCACTTTATGGGGCCCCCAGTTGAACACGACTGGTGGATTCATTTGAAGTTGACAAGGTACAGTGCCCATAAATCCACCTCCCGTCCATCACTGAGGATCCAGCTTCTTTGTTCATTTACCCACCGCGCAGGATCTCACTTTCTTTAGTGACGTCTGTCCCTGACCCTTATATGGGGTGATTCCCTCTCATTTAAGTGTTGTTCGATTATCGTACGGGTTCGAATGATCTCATTCTGCCTGGTCCTCCAGCTTACCTCCGGGGTTATACTACCCCGCCTGCACATGTGCATTCAGATAAGGATTCATTACTCACTTGTTTGTTTGCCATCTGCCCATTCCGGCAGACTCCTTGGGAAAAGCCACGATTAAGGATGCATTCTTGAAGCAAATTGAAAACTTTTGTTCACACATAAGCGTCATAACTCGCGATAGTTCTGTGGTCAAGTAAACCCTGAGCACATTTGGACTTGACTGCTAAGGTTAAGCACAACTCATCGTCGTTTTCGAAAACCGTATCGATTTAAATCGTTATCTGGTGTCTACTGACGATAAATTCTCCGGTTATAACGTATCCAGATATTAAAAAGACCAAATAACCCTCATGAGCTAGATTTATTAGGATGTGTAATATATGTGTAATACTCATGTTGATGCGTGCTTGAAGTTTGCTGACAATATCCTATCTGATTGCATTTATCCTCTACACATTGACTTGTGTGCATGCAAATCCCACCCCTACATCTGTTTTAAGTACAAGCTTATCCCATCTCGCATAACAGCATACAGAAACTCTTTGTTACCCTATCTTGCCCGCATACTGACCGACAGGGAAAGTGTTCGTTCTGAGCTTTCTAATGCATTTAGTAATTAACTCATTTATTGGTACGTTTCACATCCAACTTTTTCACCTGTTTTTACCAGAATTGTAACGGTGATCTGGTTTGTTTTGGCTGAAAGCTTGTATATAACTCGTTTAAGCTTGAATATAATAAAATACAATACAAAGCCTAGCCCAGCGGGCTTCGGCTCCTTTTGTAAAGACAGTTTAAATTGAATGAAAACCCAGATAGAAACGTTTAAACCCACACAAAAGTACGACAGTAACACTGCATATAAACCGCTCATCTGATGAAGTGTCAGCTCGCAAACGGCAGGCTCGATTGGCATTTGCCAACTTGAGACATCTGTGACGCCATCGCGACATCCGGCTATGTTAAGGGTCGCGTATATGCTGCAGTAGTTCGGCCAGTTCTGCTATATGGAGCAGGAACTTGGCCATTAAGAAAACAGGACAAAAATAGACAGTCGGTGTTTGAACACCACTGTCTACGAAGCAGCCGGACGAGCAATGAGGTCAGGCGAAAAGTTTTAGGCAACCGCGGTCGCCCACTGGAGCAAGTGGTCAACCTCCGTAGATTACGTTGGTTGGGGCATGTGTTACGCATGTCTACAAATAGGCTGCCACAGCGAGCGATGTTTGCCAAGGCAGGTAGTGGGTGGAAGAAAGCCCAAGGTGGTCAAGCTAAGACCTGGTATGAGGGTATGAAAACCCTAACCAGGAGTTTAGGTCACACGGGTTCCGCTAGGCTCCCTGGCTGGGGACCTCGGGATGGTCGTACCCGATGGTTAGAGACATAGTGATATGACTAGGTGTCGTAAACAGTGACGTTCAGGCATTTTCTCAATTTCTCTGTATCATTAATCCACTGAACTTTTCAATTTTCTTTCGGATCCTATTTTCAACCTTTCCTATCTTTCTCCTAATGTTCATCCAAATGGGCAGCCGAAAGATAGCAACCAAAACCGGCGCACTATAGTGCATGGTTAATGGTTGTGCAAACTGAAACTGAAACTCATCTGACGCAGTGAGACTGAGTATGGGAGATGTTGGTTTAAACGATCCAATATAGTATGATTATACAAATGATCTCTGTTTTATAACAAAGAAACGAAAAATGCCGAGTTATTATGAGATAACGACAACCGTATTGGGAAACGCTGACAAGACTATGTGGGATGGTGACCGAAGTGGCGCGACAATTTGGCAAACTGACTTTTTAACGTTAATTCACACCACACTGGTTTATTGTTTGTCTCAGTCACACCTATGTATCAGTTATACAACTAAGTGCTCGATTAGCCGACCGTGTGTGTGAATTCATCTTGTAATTTTCAATGGCTGAATTGGAGAACCTCCTTGTAATATTTAGAATTCTGTAGAGATTCGCGGCCTTCGGGTAAAATTTCCGACCTAAGAATGAAGACACACAGGTTGTTCAGGTAGGGCTCCTGGCAAGAGCAGCCTACAGTGGGAAATTTCCCCAAAACGGGGAAAACTTGTACCATGTCACGTTGTGAACAACCAATGCGCATGAGCAGATCCGTAGTAACTTCAATTACGGATATGTGAATCATTCAAAGGTTTATCTAGTATTTGCGTCAGTAGTCACAGAATAAACGTCAGCGTCGCATCCTTCGGGAGGTGGCACATAGTCGAAACGCACTATCATCTTTAACCCGTGGAATTGTCAGATTACACCTTCAATCTTGTATGTGCGCCTGTTAAGTAGATGTAATTGAGTGAAAGAATAAAGGTTAAAATAAACTACACATTACAGAATTCAACCATTCTACTTTGCATCATTCAGTGGGTTTTAGCCAAACGTTTACTTCCTAACCCCTGTATGAAAAACTGGTTTCATCTCTTACCAAGTCACCGGTTTATTCAATTGCACTCAAGACGTGGGTATCAGTCAATTACTCTCCATGAATTGGCGCGAAATCGATCAAATGTAGTACGAGCCACTGCCTTAAACCAATGTCACACACCAAAATGAAGTTGACCAATCACTGTGGTTCAATTAGATGACCGGATAAAAATGAACCAAATCAGCTGATGGTCGCACACATTGATCCAAACGACCAGCATGCAACACATTTTCGGAGCCTGGTTGCTAAAGGCCTCATGACACATGATCTCGGTTGCTAAAAATAGCAGTATCACACTCTCTGGTCGATAGGTCACTGTCACGTGTGGGTCGCGTGCGCGCACGTTGGGCCACTTACAGGATAATGTTTAATGTGACTGACGCTGGCCATGACCGGATGCGCACGTTACGGAGAGAACAGACAGATTGTGATAAGCAATCCATGGGGGAATTAGTCAGTGATACTTACGAGGAACCGGAATATGGACCACTAGACGCTTACATTTACAAATGATGATTAACAGAAGCACAGAAGTGTTGGTTCATTGACCGAGGAAAGACGAAACTTTTGGGTACTATACTCAGGGACTTGAAGAGATGCGTGAATACAACCACCCATTCCGTTGATATACTGTTCATCCAGTCATTTCAACCAACAGGCATCATGTCGCGCAGACAACAGAGCAATGAGATTTAGTATTCTTAAAGTTCTGACCAAACACAGGGACAATATACTAAAACCGGTTCATCAAGGACAAAGGCAAGCTGGGAGAGAGCTGCAGGCTTCAACTTTACTTCGCTTAGTATAAGAGAGTCCAGTTCCAGAACATCACGCCCAGAGGTTGACAAATTAAGCAAGAGATGTATTCGCTAGTTTGCCCCACGTTTTACGAGTCATCCGTTCGAAATCTGTATTACTTTTAGGAAACTTATCTAACAACGGATCTTACAATTGTTGCTGACAAGCTTTCTCCCGCTGAGAACTCACCATCTCGTTGCATGTTTTACAAACAATTTAACTCAGTTTCAGATATTATAATCACTACCCATGCACTTTCGTGCGCCCGTTTCGGTTGCTATCTTTGGCTGCCAATTTCGATTGACAGTAGGACAAAGACAGAAAGGAGTAGAGTCGAAGAGAAAATGGGAAATGTCAGTGGACCAAGGTTGTAAAGAAACTGAGAACAGGCACGAACGCCACTGTTTACGACACTCAGTGTCTCTAACCACCGGTTAGAGACAGCCAGGGAGAGTGACAGGACGTATGAGGCCGAACATCTTGGTTAGGGTTCTCACATCCTCCTGCCGGGTGTTCGTTTGCCCGCCCTTGGCTTTATTCCACTAATCACCTGCCATTTATATCA